CGTACACAGGCAGGCTTTTCATACAAGCATGGGTTGGGCAGGTAGGGGAGCTCGTGGAGGCGTGAATCTGAGGGCACGGACAAAAACTTCGTAAACGTGAGCATCTGCAAATATGTCAGATTGTCTGAAAGGAGGGGGCGTTGAATGGAGAGATGAATTGATGGCGGGAAAAGACTGAAAGAGACGAGACGCGATGAGGCAAGGATGAAGCATCACAATTCCGGGTAAGGACGAAATGACGCAAAAACGGAGCTTGGGACGCGCCGGATGGGAGCCATATTTTAGTAACTTTTGGCTGAGTCCAGTTCGGTGTCTGTCACTCTCAGGAGGCATCGGAACAAGCCAGCAAACTAGCAAACGGCTGTAGCAAAACAGGCGCCTAAACTATAGGCTCAGAAAAAACTGTATGATGTTATAAGGTTGTCTGTAATAGGAATCTATTCCTCAAATACTCTTCTTCCAAATTAAATTTATCCCAACAATTGCATACCAAGAGGTATTTTTGAAAAAAACTTTTCTCCGCGAATAGACTCAAAATTCTGACTAGTTTACTCAATAAAGGGGATTTCCGTTCTCTCCGTCCGAATGTGCAAATTCATCTAGATGAGCTTAATAATACGTTTGCATTCCTCATCAGTGCTCATAGGATCATGCGAGAGGCAGAGGAATATATGGCCACGACGGATTAGTGGAGGTTATTCAGAAGGACGGAGCTGACGATATTTACTTACATCATCATCACAATTACTGTGAGCCTGGCTGCCTCGCACAACTTATAGTTACGTGTCAACGATTTATGGGAGCAAGATTGGTTTTAGGTCCCAGTGAGAGACTATTCCCATTAACCTGCAACCAGTGAATCGTAAAGAAGGCGCACGTACCGGAGCGTAAAACAGTGATTATGCCATAAAAAGAGCCTGAGGCCCAATGATTTATACCAGAGACTAAAGGAGTATTTAAAATAAAAAGCGAAGAAAAGTTGCGTTTCGAGGAATCTCTTGTTTCATAATTGTTGTGCTTACTTCCATTTCAGGCGAAGGTGTTTGGTGAAGAGATTCGAAGGTCGATTCCACCAGAAGACGACGGCGGATTCCTCTTGACCAGCCGTCGATTGGCTTTACTGGATCATTCATGCTGACGCGGTTTCCGAGGTAATCTCCTTCGATTCCGGTG